ATCTCGGTCATTAATATCTCTGATGGTAGTGGTTGTCATAACATGAACCATGTCAGCGGCCGAAAGGCAGTTCATGAAAGAACACTAACACCAGGGTTTGCTTGGTAGGTAAACTAAGCAGCCCACACTATAACAAGTAGGTATTTTGACCTTCTAGTTCAGAAATATTTTAGTACTAGGCAGAATAGCTTTTAGGCATATTAGACTAAAATAAAAACGTGGGGCCCCTCTGAAATCATACCTATGGCAGAGCATATCTTATACTTTGGTAGATCAAGAGCTCGGCGCTCGCTGGTGAAGCCGCCACGGCTGGTTATTGATGGTCAAAACCTCCAGTTACGATTATAGTAAGTCGATTCAGCGGACCCTGGACTCCGGAGCTATGAGGTTTCGGATGCGACCGGGATAAACCGCTAGGATGATGATGATGACGATTATAATAAGTCGATACAATCCACACTTAGTATAGTAGAAAGTAATATAGAAATAATAATGGGCCCCACGTTTTTATTTTAGTCTAATATGCCTAAAAGCTATTCTGCCTAGTACTAAAATATTTCTGAACTAGAAGGTCAAAATACCTACTTGTTATAGTGTGGGCTGCTTAGTTTACCTACCAAGCAAACCCTGGTGTTAGTGTTCTTTCATGAACTGCCTTTCGGCCGCTGACATGGTTCATGTTATGACAACCACTACCATCAGAGATATTAATGACCGAGATCACTTACGTAGGTTGATAGGTAAGTAACTATTTATTTATTTTGTAGTTTTCAGTGCACATAAAACCGTTTAATTTAAAAGTTTTTTTACCGATTTTTATTATATATATAGATGTTATTCCTTCACCGTGGAAGTCAATTTACAATGGAAGTCAAACGTGAACATTTCTTGAGCACGTATTTCATTAGAAAAATTGGTACCCGCCTGCGATTCGAACACCGGTGCATTGCTTGACATGAATGCACCGGACGTCTTATCCTTTAGGCCACGACGACTTCATCTTCTCAATCTTCCTTATCATAACAATGAGGAACCATAGAAATTGCTTTTCAAAACGCCGACTCAACAAATGCAGTCCGGTGACAAGGAAGTGATATTATCGTAATTCAAATTGTATTGTATCGGCAATAAAAACGTGCATATTAAATTGCTATTACCATGTATAGTACGAATTAGCGATTTCAGGGCTGAGATCTTCTTATATTTCACGTTTTGTCTGACAATTATTTACGCAGTGACATTTTGGTAGGGCGCGAGATAATAAACAAAAACAAAAAAAAAACAAAAAAACGATGCGCGTGCAGCTTGGTGCACGTGAATGAAGTGAAACTCCTTTTTCGATGTGTAGTATTGTGGTTTTTATTCATTTTTCATCCTTAAATCAGATTGCTCTTGTAATAGGGAATGCTGTGTATAAGAGATTTATTTATTAAGTTGCACCAACAAAGTGATCATCGATACCAAAACATTGAACAATTAACAAAAGTTCATGGCAGATGTCACCTCAATTATAGGTACAATCGACAGTGCGTTAACAACAAAAATTTAAAAAAAAATTATAGAACTAAGATGCGACACTTTCAACATTTATATTATATACTAGCCGACCCGGCAGACTTCGTAGTGCCCACGGAATAGACCTTATTTATCTATTCCGTGGTAGTGTCTCAATCGACAAATAAAAGACCTCAACTTTTGCATAAAATAATAAAACAAACAAAAGGAATCCGTCTGATCAAAGGGAAAAACAAAATTGTTATCTTTATTTAATTTCGAGCATTTTCATATTTGTATACCTTTTAAACCTTCTCTGGACTTCCACAAATAATTTAAGACCAAAATTAGCCAAATCGGTCCAGCCGTTCTCGAGTTTTAGCGAGACTAACGAACAGCAATTCATTTATATATATATATATATATATAAATATTTTAAATTATAGATAGAAAAACGTTTGCCACTAGAGGTGCTGTTCCAACTGCATACGAATTTGAGTTAACTTTTACGCTATCGAGAACGTTAAAAAACTCGCCTGAGCACACAGGTCTTCTTTACCGTAAAATAAAACAAAATCATACTAGATGCTTGTCAATCATTCCACGTGTAATGCGTTGGTATGTTATTAATGACGCCCACCAGTCGCGTATATCTGGTGTGGAAGAAAACTTTGGAGAAGCCATTTGTTTTTACCGTAGCACCGCCCGCCATCGGAGTAGAGTGCATCCATACTACCTGGAGCCACTACGTTCATCCACAGTGCGTTTCCAGAGATCTTTTTTGCCACGTACCATCAGGCTTTGGAATGAGCTCCCCTCCACGGTGTTTCTCGAGCGCTATGACATATCCTTCTTCAAACGAGGCTTGTGGAGAGTACTTAACGATAGGCAGCGACTTGGCTCTGCTCCTGGCATTGCTGAAGTCCATGGGCGACGGTAAACACTCACCATCAGGCGAGCCGTACGCTTGTGTGCATACAAGGGCAATAAAAAAATCTTACGTTACGGACGTTTTTTCCTGGTTAGGGTACCTCTCCGCGTCGTCCCATAAGGAACTTCGTTCCAAAACTGTCATAGTTTTCTGCTGCCCAATCTCTGTGCACAATTGTCCATTCTGCGACATAATAATACAGTCAAAATCTGTTATAACGACATCGAAGGGACTGCTCATATTCAGTCGTAAAAACCGATAGTCGTAACAACCGGTAATGTTTAATGTGTATCGTGCAAGTACAAACAAAACGATAGGGAATTATTGGAAAAATATATTTACCTAATACGCGATTTTTCTTCAATATTAATTTGTTTTCTTTTTCTTTGCGACATTTTGAAATGTATGTTTCATTTTGTACTACTGCGTATTAACTTTTAAGCTTGACTAATTAAATGATCTGGTATTTTTTTCATTCAATTTCATTATCTCAAGAATCTCTCGCTTTGAAAACATTTTTCGGCTCTAGATTTTGTGCAGCCCTATGTAATGCTTTCCCGGCCAGACCAAGGGCACCTTTCGCCAGATAAGCGATCGTTTTAGATCTAGAGATAACTTTCTTGTCGTTGTAATATCTTATGCCACAATTCAGTTTACATGATGTTGTTATTCTTGTTGGCTGTATACAGGTATGATCAACATTAATTTATTACGTATTGATATATTCAATTATTATAATTAACCAGTAGCCCGCTCCGGCTCCGCTCGGGTCTATATCAAAAAATTTAACGATATTTGACGTAATTTAATTTTTTTTAATAAAAGAACACTTATTGCGGCATGACTATAATAGTCAGACATATGCTGTCGCAACACTTTTTGTAAATAATAATGTGTTCTAGAAAGTCGTAGTACATTATTTTATTCTATCATCAATAGTTTTCGCAGGACACGCGATGTAGGTGGGCTGTGAGCTCGTCCACCCAACTAAGCAATAAAAAATTCAATATATCATCGAGTTAATGCCATCGAAATAAAAAATATTTTTTTCTTGGTATTTTAGTCCATTGGTCTACGCAAATGCACCAGTTAGAAGACCGCTGGAGAAGACATTTCCTCTGAACTTTAAGTTTGGAGCGGGTTCGTCGTCGTATCAGATCGAGGGCGCATGGAATGTCAGTGGTCAGTATTATAACACTAGCTTTGCCTGCGACTTCGTCCGCGTGGAATAGTTCACAAATAATGCTTTATTTTAGAACAAATTTGGTTAGCATAACAAATGTTATAGTTATAAGGTTGGCTACCTTAACATAACGACGCTTGAAAGGCAAACGTGACTAAGCGACAATGCGTGAGCTTTACAGTAGACTAATTTAAAGTTGATATACCTGAAAAAAATTATATTTTAACGAATCTAGCTGTAGGATTGAAATGATTTTAGAATGAATAGATCTAGAAATATATTAATTTTTTGCGCATCGAATATGGTTATTGCCTATCATTTATGTCCTCCTCGCGTCGTTTTCCTCATTACTGAGGGTCGAGACTCCCTCGCTGCATCAGTTTCTCCCATACGACTTCCCTCCATCTGCCGCGATCCTTTGCTTCATGAAGGGCATTATCATTCATCTCGTCATCAATTATCTCATATCATCATCATTTATGTACAAAGCAGTTATTGTCGCTTAGTCACGTTTGCCTTTCAAGCGTCGATATAGATATATGCTGTCGCGAACTTTTTTTTAAATCTTTTAAAGGGGGACGATTCTGTCATACATTATTTTAGCGAAACTTTAACGGTTTCTGCAGCGCGCGCAGCGGAAGCTCTCAAAAGGAAAAAAAAAAACAATTTTGAAACATTCTTTATTGGTGCTCCGCTTGTATTGCTTAGCGTGATGCTATATAGCCTATAGCCTTCCTCAATAAATGAGCTATCTAACACTGAAAGAATTTTTCAAATTGGACCAGTAGTTCCTGAGATTAGCGCGTTCAAACAAACAAACTCTTCAGCTTTATACTATTAGTATAGATAAGCATTCAGTAGTATATCATAAACATGATTTATTGAGGGGTGAAAAGCTTAGGTTTAAGCGACATTTTTGCAAAATGAAAGGAGAGGCTTAAGCGACATTTTTGCAAATATACAGGACATCCATTTAAAGATTAAAATTTGGAAAAAATATCAACAAAACAAAAACTACTTAAGCTATTTTAATGGAGTAAACTTAATTGAAGTTCAATTAAAACTATCTTGAAGCCAATTCAAAAAAAAAACTTATAATTAAATTACAAAAATAAATGTTTCATTAGTGTTGAATCATGTTGATACTAGACAGAAGACATTAGCGACATAGAGCGACAGAGCGAAATTATAAAATTAACGTATTATACGTAAAATTAAGCAGACCTCTTCTTCAATTACTACCTGTTCATAGGTTTAAGAAAACTGTTAAGGAACGTTTGTGCAACAAGGCGTATTATAAAGTTAAGGATTATTTACTAGATGGCACTACGTGGGAATGAGGCGCTCGCTCCTGGCCTTTTCATTTTTCATTATTATAAATTTTTTTTTAATTGTATTTTGTTTTTTTTTTATTGTAAAAATTTTTTTATTTAAAAAAAAGAAAATATTTGAGAAAAAACAAAAAAAAAACCCGCTGAGTTTGTTTCGCCGGTTCTTCTCAGGACTGTGGCTTTTTTTGGAACCGGTGGTAGAGTTAGCATTGTTATTTGTATTTTGACGTTCAACAAGTGTGTCATACTGACATCTAAGTTGAAATAAATGATTTTGAATTTGAATTTGAATTTGAAGTCAGTGAAAATTATTCTGTAACATTATATACATTATTTCTGTTCGGACCCCCTTCGGGTAAAAGCCTCGTCCAAAGTACACCACTTATTTCTATCCTTGGTTGGGTTCAGCCAATCTTATCAACCGCTGCCGCGCTGTTACAATTTCGCCTACGGGCGAACTCTAGCTCACTTTGTCTCTTTGTCCATACGACCTATCTTCTTGTCCATCTGTTGTCGTCATATCTACGGTATACTAGGTACTATACCTGTATTCAGTGGCGGATTTACCAGTGGCCAGATTTAAGGGCGGCCCCAATCGTGTCAAAAAACTTATTATAACGTATGGTGGGCGGACTGCACTGCATGGTGCAATCTATACCGCATCTTTAAATACTCTATTATCATCTCAGCTATTATTATTATTATTTATTATACTAAACTTATGGTTACTTTTACGTACACTTCCCACCCGCACTTGCAATAACAAGTAGCTCCGTACAAATTAATTGTGTTTAATTAGATATTCAAATATTTATCTTTTTTTTTTATTGCTTAGAGGGATGGACGAGCTCACAGCCCACCTGGTGTTAAGTGGTTACTGGAGCCCATAGACATCTACAACGTAAATGCGCCACCCACCTTGAGATATAAGTTGTAAGGTCTCAGTATAGTTACAACGGCTACCCCACCCTTCGAACCGAAACGCATTACTGCTTCACGGCGGAAATAGGCGGGGTGGTGGTACCTACCCGTGCGGACTCCCAAGAGGTCCTACCACTAGTGATACGCAAATTATAATTATGCGGGTTTGATTTTTATTACACGATGTTATTCCTTCACCGTGGAAGTCAATCGTGAACATTTGTTGAGTACGTATTTCATTAGAAAAATTGGTACCCGCCTGCGGGATTCGAACACCGGTGCATCGCTACATACGAATGCACCGGACATCTTATCCTTTAGGCCACGACGACTTCAATCTCGCAATTAAGTCTTATAAGTTGATAACACTCGTGTAAAAGTTATCATAACTAAGTATGCCAAGTTGGCAGAGTATGTTAAAGCAAATAACTAGTTGTAACAACTTATGTACCATATTCTTGCGAAATAAAACTATTCTTTTTTTCTAAATTTCTAAATCGATTTAGATAAAAGTTGGCAATAAAGTAATTTCATTATGTAGTCTATATGGTGGATGCTGAGAAAGAGGCGGCTGATTTCTTGGGGCCTAGGGCGGCCGAGACGGCAAATCCGCCACTGCCTATATTCAATTCAAGCACACAGGTACAATGTTTGATAACAATCTGGAAAAAAGGATCCCCGGAAAAATAGTTATTTGCTTAGTTCCTTGAGACTTAGACCTCAAGTCTCAAGATGGTTGCGACATTCGCGGTATGATGGCTATCAACTGCGGTAAATACATCACTGATGATGAAGGACCATCAGCTCATAATTGGTCGTGATTAAAAGCATTTTTATTTTTATAAATCTAGATAAAGGTGAGAGCATACAGGATCGCTATGCTCATGAGCATCCAGAGAAAGTGGTTGACGGCAGCAATGGTGACGTCGCCTGCGACTCCTACAACCTTTGGAGGAGGGACATCGAAATGGCCACTGAATTGGGATTGGATCATTATCGGTAAGACGAAATTGCTTTAAAACTATTGTTACCTTAAGGACTATACAAGGTTCGCATCCTGAATTTTTTTTTTATTGCTGAGATGGGTGGACGATCTCACAGCCCACCTGGTGTAAAGTGGTTACTGGAGCCCATAGACATCTATAACGTAAATGTGCCACCCACTTTGAGATATAAGTTCTAAGATCTCAGTATAGTTACAACGGCTGCCCCACCCTTCATACCGAAACGCATTACTGCTTCACGGCAGAAATAGGCAGGGCGGTGGTACCTACTCGCGCGGACTCACAAGAGGTCCTACCACCAGTAGATCCTAAATCAAAATATCAATTTTAAAACCAAAACGAAATGCTTTCCCGAATGATTCCAATGAATGAAATTCACCAGAACATTGAACTCGTGGTAGGGAATACCATGAGTCCGCACGAAGAGCCACCATCATTCCGTCTCTTTTTTACCTAGAAGCAGTAATGCATTCCGGTTGTCAGGGGAGGATAGCAGATAGCTGGTGGTAGGACCTCTTGTGAGTCCGCACGGGTAGGTACCACCACCCCGCCTATTTGTGTCGTGAAGCAGTAATGCGTTTCGGTTTGAAGGGTGGGGTAGCCGTTGTAACTATACTGAGACCTTAGAACTTATATCTCAAGGTGGGTGGCGCATTTACATTGTAGATGTCTATGGGCTTCAGTAACCACTTAACACCAGGTGGGTTGTGAGCTCGTCCACCCATCTAAACAATAAAAATAAAAGATCAGCACATAAACTATACCTCGACCTATTGTCTAATCTGGATATGGCAGTGACATGAATGAACATCTGGCATCATTGACGTCTTTAGCGACAGTGAGGATAAAATTTTAACCGAGTCGTAGGGTACGTCGGCCTTGAAGGCAATAGGTTTTTTTTCTTATGATGGGTGGATTAGCTCACGGCCCACCTGGTGTTAAGTGGCCATTGGATCCTATAGACATCCCAAACCGAAACGCATTACTGCTTCACAACAGAAATAATCAGGACGGTGGTGCGGGCAAGCTCACAAAACGCCCTACCATCAGATCTAGTAAAAACATGATTATGTAAACCTTGATTCTAATGCTCTAAGTCTATGTAGCATCATATCATTCTCCTGCCCTTCTCCCAGTCACCTGGGGTCGGCGCAACATGTTTTCTCCTTCGATACTCCTCTATCATATACTATTTCTTCGCTCACTCCCCTCTTACACATATCGTCTTTCACGCAATCCATCCATTTTTAGGTCTACCTCTTCCTCTAAAGCCTTCCATGTTCTTAGTTAAAACTCTCCTAACAACCTCATTGTCATTTCGTCTCATCACATGTCCATATCATCCCAAGAGCGCACTTCTCAACTTCTCTGTCACAGGTGCCACTTTCAGAATTTCCTCTATGTTGCGTGATAACCAGAATTATATTCAATGCACTATTGCTGTGTGGAGCATTATAACAAGATTTGTAAAAAAAAATACGGTTTTTTTATTGCTTAGATGGGTGGACGAGCTCACAGCCCACCTGGTGCTAAGTGGTTACTGGAGCCCATAGACATCTACAACGTAAATGCGCCACTCACCTTGAGATATAAGTTTTAACGTCTCAAGTATAGTTACAACGGCTGCCCCGCCCTTTAAACCGAAACGCATTACTGGATCTCGGAAGAAATAGGCAGGGTGGTGGTACCTACCGGTACGGACTCACAAGAGGTCCTACCACCAGTAAAATACGTTACTTCGTTATTTCTACGTACTACGTTATTTCAGATTCTCCATTTCATGGCCCCGTCTTCTGCCAAGCGGCTACCCGAATTACATCAGCGAAGACGGCAGGAACTACTATAATAATTTGATAGACGGCCTCCTAAAGAATAATATCGAACCTGTAGTTACAATCTATCATTATGAACTTCCTCAAGTATTCCAGGATCTCGGTAAGTACTATATATTATTATGTACAATTACCCTCACTGTTTCTTTTCGAACTTTATTAGAAATTATAATCACCCATCAAAAACTTGTGTAAGACTAAATTCCCGATAATTTGTTAATAAGTCACGCTAATTAATACGCTTTTATTAGCTTCAGACGTATGTATGTTAGTATGTAACGGAATCTTTGAATATGATTTTGCCCCCTTTAAAAAGTCGGATTAACTCGAAATTTGGTATACTTATTAAGGACCGATAACAATGCAATATTAAAAAAAAAAATGAAAAAAAATATAGAAAATTTTTAAATTCAACTAAAAAATGAAAAATAAATAATAGTTTAAAAAAAACTTTACATTCTTCTTCCCACGCTTCTTTTACAATAAAATCATTTTTCTTACACTATTTTTAATTCAAATTTATTAAAAGTTATATTTTTTAGTTGAATTTTGTATAAAAACGTATTTTGTTAGTTTTTTTAAACTATTATTTATTTTAGTTTCATACGTATGTTAGTATGTAACGGAATCTTTGAACAGGATTTTGATTGACCCCTTCAAAAAGTCGGATTAACTCGAAATTTGGCAGACTTATTAAGGACCGATGACATTTCAATATTTTAAACATTTAAGCCCGTTATTTAGTTTCAGCAGTCAAAACAACGAATTAATTTGAGTGCCTTCTTTTTTCACTTAGCAAATTGGAAACTATTGTATTTGCCTGAATATAATTTAATGAATAATTAATTATACATAATGCTATTACAAAAAATGCATAAACTGTAAAATGAAAAATAAATAATAGTTTAACAAAAAAAAAACAAAAAAAACACGCTTTTATAGAAAATCCAACTAAAAAAATTAAACTAAATTTATTGTAAAAAAAGCATAGAAATTATGTTAATTGGACATATTTTCTGAAAACATATTTGTCATTGTAAACATTTATTTCGTCACGGTGTTGCTTCCATGACAAATAAATAAGATAGCTTAACTCTTATTTTCTCTTGTTGGTTAAACTATTGATTCTAATTAATATTTAAAAAAAAACTAATATTTAAAATAAAATAAAAAATCTAATATTTAAAAAAAAAAAAAAGACATGCCCGCTGAGTTTCTTGCCAATTCTTCTCAGGACGGAGGCTAGTTCTTGTGAATTGGCGGTAGTTCTTTTGACGTTCAACAAGTATGTAGGTACTTTCATTTATGTTGAATAAAACTTTTTTGATTTGATTTGATTTGATAATTCCGATACATGAATCCTATATAATATTTTTTCTCAAATATGTTTTTCACTACATACCACTATATCTATACTAATATATAAATCTACAGTGGTTTTTACGGATGTTCCGTTATAATTACTGAACCATGCATCAGATTGACCTGAAACTTGGTATCCATGTAGAAAATACATGTACTTAATGGATAGGCTAATATTTATATGAGTGTTGGACTCTCTAATAATAATGACAATAAATATAATAATCATGTTAATTTTAAATGCCCAGCGAAGCGGACGAGTACGGCTAGTTACCTACCTATATAACACTACCTACATAATAGTTACTATGTATGATTTTTTTGTTGTTGTCCATCGTCATCATCAACAGTATGAGGAAATTCAGCTGTGGGCATCTTAAGCCCGGATACGATAACTTCTTATCTTTCATCAGGAGGCTGGACCAATCCCCTCATAGTCGACTGGTTTGCTGACTACGCGAGCGTCGTGTACTCTTTATTCGCCGACCGTGTCAAGATCTGGTTGACGGTGAACGAGCCACTTATCATCTGTGACGTCAGCTACATCGGTATCTCAGCGCCGGGCCTATACAGCCCTGACCATGGACTATTCTTGTGTAATAAACACGTTCTCTTGGCACATGCTAAAGCTTGGAGACTATATGATGAGGAGTACAAACCTAAATATCACGGTATGTAATAAGCAGTCATCATTAGGCCAACATTCCGTTTTTTTTTATTGCTTAGGTGGGTGGACAAGCTTACAGCCCACTTGATCTTAAGTGGTTACCGTCGCTCATGGACGTCAGCAATGCCAGGGGCCGAGCCAAGCCGCCGCTATTGCTCTCAAGGTCTCGTTATGGTGTTCTATCCACAAAAGCTAATGTTTCAATAGATGGGCTTGTTCAGAAGATAGATTGTGGTAAAATTTTGTATAGGTTGTCAAAATAATAGTTCATTACCTATTGATATTGGCTGATTGAAACGTAATTTATGTAGGGTTGGCAGTACATTATAAATTTATTTGTTTATTTATTTAGATATTTATTTGTAGTCGTCGTGGCCTAATGGATAAGACGTCTGGTGCATACGTGTTGAGGCGATGCACCGATGTTCGAATCTCAGGCGGGTACCAATTTTTCTAATGAAATACGTACTCAACAAATGTTCACGATTGACTTCCACGGTGAAGGAATAACATCGTGTAATAAAAATCAAACCCGCAAAATTATAATTTGGGTAATTACTGGTGGTAGGACCTCTTGTGAGCCCGCACGGGTAGGTACCAACGCCCTGCCTATTTCTGCCGTGAAGTAGTAATGCGTTTCGGTTTGAAGGGCGGGGCAGCCGTTGTAACTTATACTTGAGACCTTAGAACTTATATCTCAAGGTGGGTGGCGCATTTACGTCGTAGATGTCTATGGGCTCCAGTAACCACTTAACACCAGGTGGGCTGTGAGCTCGTCCAACCATCTAAGAAATAAAAAATATAAAATACTTGTGGACCCGGCGAACTTTGTTCCGCCACACGGTTTGTTTCAAACACATCAACCGGTCAACTTCAAAATTCTACTATAATTTACCATAGAATATATTACGTTTAGCTGTCAGTTGCGTTTTGTTATTCCATATCAGTTGCGTTTTGTTATATCACGTTTTATGTCACGTCCCACGGGAACTTGATAAAAAGTATCCTTCTCCTGGTTCTAAGCTACCTCCTCACCAATTTTCAGCCAAATCAGTTCAGCCGTTCTTGAGTTATAAATAGTGTAACTAACACGACTTTCTTTTATATATATATAGATGAGCACCTGTAGACTTTCTTCAATATCATTCATTTGAGTCTCAATGGTAATGAAAATAAAGCCTTTTGTAAAATATTTTTTGAGAGGTACCCGAATTTCTTCCAGGTATGGTGTCACTCACCCAGCTTTTCTTTTGGTTTGAACCGGAAACAGAAGCAGACACCGAACTAGCAGAGTTGACTAACGAGTATTGTGTAAGCTTATTGAATGTTTTTAATACAAAAACGATTCATTCATATTTACATTCACCAACTGTGTTGTGTCGTGTACCGATTTTGGCTATTAGCCATAAATCGCATAAGCATAGCAAGAAGTCGTCGTGGCCTAAAGGATAAGACGTCCGGTGCATTCGTATCGAGCGATGCACCTGTGTTCGAAGCCCGCAGGCGGGTACCAATTTCTCTAATGAAATACGTACTTAACAAATGTTCGTGATTGACTTCTACGGTGAAGGAATAACATCGTGTAATAAAAATCAAACCCGCAAAATTATAATTTGCGTAATTACTGGTGGTAGGTCGTATTGTGAGTCCGGGTACGAGTACGTACCACCACCCTGCCTGTTTCTGCCGTGAAGCAGATGCGATTCGGTTTGAAGAGTGGGGCAGCCATTTTACTCTTACTAGTGGAACCTTAAGAACTCATGTCTCAAGGTGGGTGGCGGCATTTACGTTAAAGTTGTCTATAGGCTCCAGTAACCACTCAACACCAGGTGGGTCGTGAGCTCGTCCATCTATGTATAATCTAAAATATGGTCCAAATTCTTGCGGTGGCAGTGTAGAACTTAAGCACTTAAAACGTTTTCTCTTTAATTATTGCGTCCAAAAGTATCAAAAGTACTTGAGCCATATTCACGAAAGACGTCCTTGATGGCAAAATAACATCTTGTAATAGTGATCAAACTTCATAAATATACTTAATTGCTGTTACCTAAAACCGTGCATAGAAAGGCCTAGTGTAGCTACAGCATTTACCCCGCATTTTTTTTTATTGCCCTTGTAGGCAGACGAGCATACCCACCTGATGGTGAGTGGTTACCGTCGCCCATGGACTTCAGCAATGCCAGGGGCAGAGCCAAGCCGCTGCCTACCGCTTAATACTCTCCACAAGCCTCTCCTAAAGAAGGACATGTCGTAGCGCTCAGGAAACACCGTGGAGGGGAGCTCATTCCATAGCCGGATGGTACGTGGCAAAAATTTCTATGACGCAGTAAAGATTTCCGACTTGTACAAAAATAACATATCCATTAATAAGCCAAGAAGCACTCTCATGAAAATGGGAGTCATCAGCGGAATGATTTAATCTTTAAGTCATGTTTCTGATAAACCATTTTACTTTGCAACAGGAGGGTCGTTTCGCTTACCCCATATACTCAAAGGAAGGGGGGTGGCCGCCATCCTTGAAGAACATCCTGGATGAGAACAGTTACAATAAAGGCTTCAATAACACCAGGGTCCTGCAATTCACACCCGAAGAAATCGAATTCGTCAAAGGTATTGCCAATTTGAGCAATATACCCAACCGAAATATGTGGATGTTTTGTTTCTCCGCATTTTGCAGTATATGACGTATAATAATATATTGAAATCGTTCTTGACAAATCATACAGTTGTTGTGGTTGTTAGTATTTAGGACACAAATATATTGCACAAAAAACTACTACAAATTTTATGCTCGAATAGGCATTTAGATGCTTTAAAATCATTATGAATTTTACCATAAGCATCTAATTTTACAACTGAGACAAATATTTTCAATAAATAAAAAAAATTCAAAAAGGTTCGGTTCAAAAAGAGCGTGTGCGAATCTCAAATGAAGCCTAAAATATGAGCTCGAAAAAACAATAGATACTTTTTGTGAAATATTAACATTATTCCCAAGTGCAAACTAAATAGTCCTCATTATCATCGAGATTAACGCTATATTCCAGGTACATACGACTTTTACGCTTTGAATCACTACACATCTTTTGTGGTTAAAGCAATCGAGCCTAACGAAGCTGCTGGCGACTGGCCTTTCTCAGGTTCAAGCGAATTAGGTGTGAACTTTGGACCACATCCAACATGGGAGGTTTCTGCTGGGTTTGGGGTAAGACTTAGTACATTACATATACGAGTTGTTAATTTTTCTATATACATATAATATCTAATTGATATTTATATTAAATAATAAATAATTATAAATATTTACTAACAATCACGCCACGTTCACTGGTCCCGTGATAAGTTCGTCAAGAACTTGTGTTACAGGTACCAGATAACGGATATAAATGTAAGATTTTTATTATACACATACATATATTTAATATACATCCATAACCCTGGAAAAGACATTTATATTTATCATACAAATATCTTCCCTTGGCGGGATTCGAACCCGCGACCCCCTTGTGTAATGACCATGTCACTAACCACTACACCAGACGGCCGTTGAATATATATACTTAGTNGTCACAAAAAATGTTTGACACGTTGCAAGAAATGTGATGTTGGAGTGTGTGTCAAGTGTTTTGAAACATATCATTCATAAATAGTGTTAATCTAGTAAATTACATATAACAATGGGTAATATAATCAATAGTTATCTAATAAACTACACTTTTTGATTACATTCTGTTTTGTCATAAATGGTCTTTTATTTCCTCTTATCTATTATCCTACTGTCCTACATATAGGACGGCTGTTTCCCTGAAAGCCTTACACTTAATTTTTTTTTCATAATTTTTTTTATGTTGCATAAGATCTAATAAACTAAATAATGTAACTTTTTTCAAAAATTTCAGAAAATTTTAGTTTCAGGCTTATCTGGGTTAAAGATTGCACGCGTCCAATGTTCGTTCACATTCCTATATTATTCTGTATCAACTGTAGGTAAAACACAACATAATTGAAGTACAATTTAGTATCAAGGTCAACATAGCCTGCAGGAAGACTTAATTAAATAAAATCCGAGTCACAAAAAAAAAAAACAGAAGGAGAAACTCTGGATAGTGTAGTCGAATCCTGCATCGCTGCCAGTTAACGTAGCAACAACAGACCACTAGTTTAACGTTTCAAAATGGCGGCTCGATAAATTATTTGGGATTGGGATTGCCATTTTATACCATTAATTTATTGTATTTTGTTACTTGTCGTAATTTAAAATAGCTACTTGTATTTTGTTACTTGCCGTCATGCGTTCGATTTGAACGAATAATTTTGGTTCATAATATTGTTAACTCCATTAGTGCATTTTTATCATTCTCAAATTATCTATATATACTTATATAAAAATGAATTGCTGTTCGTTAGTCTCGCTAAAACTCGAGAGCGGCTGGACCGATTTGGCTAATTTTGGTCTTGTATTATTCGTGGAAGTCCAGAGAAGGTTTAGAAGGCGAATAAATATTAAAATGCTCCGAATTATATAAAAACTAACAATTTTGTTTTTTCTTTGATGTGTCCCTTGTCGAACGGATTCCTTTTGTTTTTTTTTAAGTTTATTTTATACAAAATGGATTGAGGCACTACGAAGTCTGCCGGGTCAGCTAGTAAGATATAAAATTTATTATTTCAAAATTAACAACAAATAACATTAAAATAAATAAAATAATAGTCTGGTAATTGTTGACGCATTTCTACAAAAATCTTATGTTAATATATTATCTTGACGTGGTGAGGACTTCAAAAAAAACTTATTTATATTGTTAGATATAGCAAACAAAACTGCATAGATCTTGCACTTGGTTCTGTTCCGCTAACAATGTATTATCAAATTAACTATGTAAATAGTCTTAACGGTTGCGTCAATGGTAAATTGCAGTCGGATGTAGTGAAACCGCCCAACGCCGCCTTGAGCAGGGTAATGACGGACATGTTGCTTACAAATTAAGGTTTATTTTGCTTTGGATATTCAATTTAATTTTTGATCTTAACTTATTTAGTTGGGCGAGCTAGCAATGCTGAATGAAACAGGCTTGAACACGGAATCCTGATTAATATAAATTGCATTAAAGTTAACAAACACAATTGAAATAGACACTTTTCGTTAGTTTCGTAATTTTGTCGAAGACCGATGGTACCGAATAAAAAAAAAAATCTTTAATTATATGGACTGAGATACAATTCACCAAATTTTAATGTAAGACATTTACTACTCAAATTATCTCGTTGGATATATGGGAGCTGCTAAACGTCCCACCTTCATCAGCTGAACAACTACTAATTTCTTGATGAAGCGTCTGCTATCTACATAAAAAATCAGATAGCGAAACCCTCGTCATTTCGTTCTGTCCGTCTGTCTATCCACTTTACTGTGACGTAATACTGCTTCGTCTAATGATTCGAAGCTCTATGCTCTTCTCTGCTCTCTGAATGCGAACCATCTTTAGGTAGGCTTTTAAAATATGAAGCGTTACTATTAAATTTCTGTTTGAATAAGTAAGTAGATACGATTGGATATATATGTGCTTCTAATGTCAAAATTTGTATCTTTTCAACCGTCGTTAATGTATGTTTTCATTACTCGCGGTAACAACGGATGATTACGTAGTCTAATTTTGAATTAGCGTAAATGAGCGCGAGTAGAAAGACACTGTTTTTTCTCCCGAAGCTCCTACTCTAGAAACAACGCGTCTATTCATATGTACATGAATAGCTACAAGAAGAACGGAAACCCATTCAATTATCGACACTTAATTGTGTAAAATTCCACGTTTGATCAATGATTAGAACTATTAAGTAGCTCTGATTAATACGCCGTCAAACGATACTGCACGTAAAACAAATCATTGTTATTTCGGTTCAATGTTTTCGAAACTGATTCATGGGGCTAAATGTGAAGGTGACTTCATAGGATCGTATATTCGGAAATTGAGTGATTTGAGATTTATCAACAAGTCAATGTGGTTCAAAGATTTATTAACCGACTTTATACGAAGGAGATTGTATATTCATGGCGTAGGTTTTTTATTCTAACTTCAGCAAAGAGAGGTAATACGTAGTCATCGAGAAATAGAGAAAACTATTTTATTATTAAATTCTTAGAGCTGTTTGTCAGTATTCGATAATGAACTACTAATATATTATTTGTGTTTATATTTTGTTTTACGGTTTAGTCTTGCGTTTATTAGATCATTTTAATATTTCCGATCGAGGGTCGACACTAAAACTGTAGTGTTTGAGACGATATTAATGGAATGAAAAAACACGAGATTAAGTTATGTCTACATATCGCGATAACCGTAGAAAATAACCCTCCTTTACTTTACAAATTCCTGAAACTGAAGCGCCAATAATAGGCTCCATACAAACGGTAAATAGTAGTAGTAGTAACTGTACTGAGACCTTAGAACTTATATCTCAAGGGAACTTATATCTCAAGGTGGCGTTTACGGTGTAGATGTCTTTGGGCTCCAGTAATTACTTAACATTAGGTGGGCTGTGAGGTCGTCCACCCATCTAAGCAATAAAAAAAATATAAAAACTTCCTAACCTCAACGTACAGATAAATTTAGGTAGCAATCAGAAGATTAATTGCCGCTGCCCAGTGACACATGTGACATGCGACTGAAGTTTGAAGTACACCAGCGTGAAGCCGGGACGCAGGATCGGTTAAGGGTCAAAATACATGATGACGGCATCAACGCGGCAGTATGATTATACGGCCGGTTCAAGCGCACATCATCAGGAATAAAATGTAAGATTATTAACGATAGTAGTCTTTGGGACGATCCACTATGGACGAGGCTGCGCACTCGCCTTGATTGGCAAGTAATCAAGTCGGACGTCACAGGTGAACGGTACGCGCGCATACTCTTGACAATAGTTTCTTTGATGTACAGAAATACATGATGGAGCATCAATGCTGGCGCCTACCATATACACATAGAGTTTTACGAGTAACCTAATAGTCGAATAACAAGGGTTTATGGACAGCTAAGTATATTGATATTCAATTTTATGAAATTAAAATGATGTTGATGGGAACGCGACAGGCTATCTGATATTATGCTCTGGTAGAGAGACGTGACCTCAGCCAGTCTGCACAGTATTTCTGCCGCAAATCAAGAAGGGTCTTGAGACTCTTGAAGGCTCTTGAAATGAGACATTTAAAACAAAGAAATAAGCTATAATTGGTATCTATATATTAATACGTGAAGCAAAAACTTTGTATCTCCTTTTTACGAAAATTGCGCGGACGGAGAAGTACCTACGAAATTTCCCACACTTATAAAGAATATAGACAAGGAGTGCATAACGCATGTTTTTTATTCTGCTTAAAAAATACATTAAATCGATAAAAAAAAACATAAAATATATACATACTAAAGGATGGGACGGTCGACGTTTGTCCTGCACGCCACCGCCCGGGATAGTCTATTAGACATATTGTTTCTGGCTGTTTTGCTAATGGCGAGTACTTGCATAGACATAACCAAGCGGCTAGGATTATCCATCAACAACCTGCTCTGAAATAGGCTTTTCTTGATTCTGCTGTACCTTATTACCAATACCAACCTCAACCAGTTCTTTAAAACAGCCATGTGTCATGGAGAGTTTTATTGCCACCAATAAGCCTGATTTGTGATATAAGATCGGTCTGCGTATCGAGCAATGTAAGTGGAAATCGCCATTCCTCTTGACGAGAACTTCGTAAAGACAGAAAAGGACAAGTTTATAAAATACTTAATCTTGATCGACGAGACCACCGCCATTTGGCATGTTGATTAAATCATCATTGTTACGATATTAGGGTCGGTGCACGGTTTCGGAAATCATATATAAGCTGCCACAGCGAGTTACCTTTGTGTATATGCAGGATATCACAGAATTACTTCACTACATTAGTACATTATTTAGCACATTCTGTCAGTTCTTATTAGAAGTGACCACAACGAATATGGTTGGTTGCTTGTAAATATTAACGCCCAGGGTTCTGACTGCAAGATCTAAGCAAAGAGCTTGTGATGTATCTGAAAACGACTGTCATGGCTTCGGGGCTTCGAACGGAAAACCTGTTAAAAATAAATAATTAAACTATTATTGCTGGCGGGTTCTTTTGAAGATATTATTGAAATAATAATTCTTCTACTCATATCTGTCAGAAAA